AATATAATATAATATAATTAATATAATTAATATAATATAATATAATATAATATAATATAATATAATGCACATCCACACAAACTACAAATTCTATTTTTAGAGGCAGGTCAAATCCAGCACAGCTTATTGTATCGCAGTCTGTCCCTGACTGTCACATGCCAGTTTCTGCCACTTCCTGTTTGGTTAATTTAATACATTTTGTTAGTTGAGAATTCAGATGCGAACAGCATTAGCCCAAAGAATTAATTAGGAAGAGGTGTATAATGTAAGAACTGCAGTTGGCGGTCTCTTATGTTTAAATGTCTTTTTATTCCTTTATCCCATGGAAAACATAACAGCAAATTGGGATGCAGTATCTTAAGCAGATGGGAAAGATATTTTATGTGCCATCTGTTTAAAAGTAGAAGCTGTAGGAAAAAGTACTTGCGAGAGAGCTTGCAGGTGGGCACATTTGGAATCAATATATGGCATTCAGTTAAATGAAGCTTGAATGTTATTGTCCCTTAAAGGTGAATCTTTGTCCTTCTGTGGAGAAGGTTTTCTTTCAATGCTTATTTCCTCCCCACTTTATACTTGTATGTTACCTAACATTCTGCCCAGCGTAAGTGCCTGGCCTAAAAACAATTGATAACATTGTCATTGTGTACTGAGCGGCTTTTCGTCATTGCTGAAATAGGCTTTTTAAGCTCCCTTCTTCTCTAACAGATCCTAGCAGCTAGTTAGGACGCTTGGAATTGCTGAATGAACACTAAAATGTAGACGTGCTTGACAAAAGCAGTGATGAGTGATAGAGGAAGCCAGATGGGACTCCAAGAATTGTTAACTACGGTAGTAGCAGTTATTATCAGTCAAAAGTCAAAATCATTTCACATATAGTAACCCTTCTCAGAAGGTTTGGAGTAGGAACTTGGGTTTCTGTTTGTCCACATTAGTGAGCTTAGTAACACCAAAGCGCAAGCTTGCCCATTTTTAAAGGGCACTGTGCCCATTCTCACAGGAGACAGTAACATGAACCCTGAATTTTACATTCTGTTTGCTAATTGCTGCTAGCTAGGCTAATGTTGTCACTGTATTTATTTTCTGCAACAGCTGCAGTTCTGGTTTAGAAGTCTATCTGTCTCCTTGGTGACTCTGCGGCGCAAGTCTTATCCGTGAACATATTACGGTTCGAGCCCTTTAGAGCCTTTAAGAATGAGAAACTAATAATTAAATATTTTTTAAAAATTATAATCAAAGTACATCTTAGGATTTCACATTGTTGTACTGACCCAGAGGAGAAGATTACATGGATTAACTACATTGAGTTGGGGCTCATGAACTTCCTTCTCTCTTGTGGCAATATTTGCGGACCCCGTCAGCGAGAGAATGTCGGCTGGCGGAGCCCAGGAGGAGAGCCTTTTCTGTTGTTGCCCCCGCCCTTTGGAATATTCTCCCCCAAGAGGGGCAGTAGGCCCCTACCCTCCCAGCTTTCCAGAAAGGATTAAAGACCTGGCTCTGCCAGCCTGCGTGGGGTGACAAAAATCTTACCCAGTCCTGGGGGTGGCTGGCACCTTGATGATGCTCCCCGAGTGACTGCCAGTTTTAACACCTATCCTTGGATTATATTGATTTTCTATTTATTTAGCATTATTTTATACTGTAATTTTAATTGATTTTAACCGCTTTGTAAACCACCCACAGTCGTTTTAACGAGATGGGTGGTGACTAATTTAATATATAAATAAAATAAATAAATAAAAATAAATAAATATTCGAAGAGGAAACTAGAAGGTCCCAGTAAGCAGCATTGCTGTTTTTCAAACCTGGTCCAATTATGATTAAGATGAATGGTGATTTAATTTTGCTTAGTGAAAACAAGGCAGCTTCAAACTATATTCCATGTGTACCTTGTCTTCCTCTGCATATTTTCATCTTTAGCAAATAACTTTCTCTATTCTGTTACTCTATTCTGTTACACACAGAATGTGCAGTGGAATTGTGAACCATAGGTCAGAATCAAGAACATATTTTAGACATCTTCAAAAGTGAGCTGTGCCTCCTTTTTCAATCTCAGAAGGGTTTGATCTTTGGCTTGGAAGGCAAGCTATTGTTTAAGTGACCCAAACCCACTGTAGACCGCCATGTGCTACAATGCTTAGAAATCTATGCATTCCCGTCACTCCTTGACCCCAACAGATGAGCAAAATAAGTTCTAACATCTTCCCAATTGGCAAAATTATAATTTCCTTTTTCTCTTGTGTTGGTCAGGAGCACTGAAGAGTCATGCTTTTGTTCTCCCATCATTACACAAGTTAAATTTCAGAATCGCTTGTGGATGAACATAATTTGCCCCCAGGATTGCCTATTCAAGAATTAAACAAACACACACTTAAGCTTCGGAACCTTTTTGTGGTTCTACAGGAAAAAGAAAAAGCTGTATTTTTGTTCTCATCTGTGTGAGAATCTCTCCTGTTAAATTTTGCATTGCCAGTGAAAAGCTGGACTTCCACAGTGATCTAGCTGTATATAAAGGATTTTATTCCTTGCTGTAAAGCAAACCTCAATATTTTAAAAAATGTAGTAGTGTCCTGCTATGTAATCCTGAAAATACATAATATCAGTAATACTATAAAGATGATGGAGGTGATTTTAAGCAGATATAATTCAAAGAGTTTGGGAATGTGCCTAGTTTTTGTACTTTTTGTTTTACTACTGAGATAGCTTTTGTTCAGGATCTAACATTTAGCAATTGTGTTGCTATAGAAATAGAGCATATGGGTCTTCCTTAGCAGAGTCCCATGAGGAACTGCAGTACAGAATTATCCATTCTTCTACAATCCAGTGTTATTACTTAAAACAATTAAAGAGTATTTCAGTGGCTTTTTGTTTAGCCTGCTTTTCTCAAAGATGCCTTTTAGACTTTTGTCTAGAAAATCACATTGTCCTCTGTTGTATTTAGAGCTTTTTTTGGTAACCCACAAGGCATGTCTGCATAAGAATGCAATAAGAATTTCAAAGATACTTGACAGAAACTGTTATTCTTTCATATTTTAAGTACTAGAATTTGAAAAACAACATCATTTGAGGGTAGAGGCTATGTTGTAAAAGAATGATTGGAATCAGTGTGCCATACATAATTCGGTTTGCAATTTTTGTGCCTAAATAGCACTGTGGAACGCAGACTTATCT